GACTATCAGGGTGAAGTCGAAGTCTATTTCTTACAGCGTAGGCACAGAAGCTCCACCGGATGCTCTGGGCTCTTCACGTCAGCGGATGCTCTAAGTGGCGTCTTAAGTGGGCGTTTGCTCGCTTTGCAATTCTCAAGTAGGTACCGATCGCCGCAGCGACATTGTTTCCCTTTGTAGGATGACGTCCGAGCTTCATCTAATTGCCAGTACTCTAGCTGCTCGCATTTGCTTGCATTGGTGGAGCTTTCCTGTGCTAACCGCATATGCTACTTATTGGTAGATGCCTAGATGAACAACAACATATCCGGCGGTCATCAGAAGGCCTTCATGTGGGAGCTCACCGACACTGATGAAGGCGCAAGCTCCAACTCACCTGTTTCTTCTATTCATTCTGGGTACAACGCAGTGGCACGTGGTCCAGCAGTCAATGCTAGGAGTAGCGGCAACCAAGCCAGCAGTATGAGCACCAGCGCCTTTGGCACCAGGAATGAACGTGAGGAGTACATCTGTCATTCGAGAGCCGGAATTTGCCATTTCGCTGACCAACCGCCCTGCTCACGGCTGTTTCTCGCTGATCCTATGCATGCATCAGCATTGCAGTCCGGGGGAGTGGAAAAGGAAGTGTATTCGAAAGTGCCACTCGCTGAAGCTAAGTGCTGCGGAAATTCGGAGGCTGCTGCGTCACCTGTAAGTGGCGACGAAACAAATGCTGAGTTGGAGGCGGGCAACCCGTTGCTGCGTGGTAGGGCGGAAAGTAAGAGCGAACTTGACGGCGTAGAGGGAGAGATGGAGCACCGCGGGATCCAGAGAGACGCATCTTCTTCTGCTGAGAAGGGTACTGACGCCGGGGGCGAGGAACAGATTGAAGGCGAGGATAGCCGGAGCCCACGAGATGCTCAGTCTGCAAGAACAGACGAGACGGAAGCCGCTACTCCGAGTCGTGGGGCGTCGACAATGCAAGGGGAAGACAGGACGACGCAGACGCGCCTAGATGAACTATCTTTACTTTCTTTCAATGCGGGGCTTCTAGAGTACAAACTGTGCGGCCTTCGCGTTTACCAAAATCCTCCCTTCACTCAGCGCCGACTTCATCACATTCCTGGTAAGTTAAGCTTTATTCGTGTACCGGCGATGTTTACTAGCTTGTCCTTCGCCTTCCTTTTAGCTTGAAAGGGGTTCGTTTGTACGCCGTTTGCTGGCCGTTGTATAGACTCGAATTGTACTGGTGTGCTTTTAGCTTAACTGGCCGTAGTTGCTGCTAATTAAAGCTAATTTACATGTCTTCCTTTTAGCTACGCGCATTTTAACAGCGGCAATACTCTCAACGGGGGCTGACATCATTTGCCTGCAAGAGGTGTACGGAGAAAACCACGCCGACTTTATCATTGAGAGCACTCGCCATAAACTGCCTTTTGTTGGTAAGCTGCTCTGGCATCCATTTGTGCGTTTCGCTCCCTCTTTTCCTGACCGTAGGGTGTCTGTCTCCGTGCCGTACTTTCAGACTGAAATTACGTGAGCAAGTCAGTTCCCCGGGTGCATGGCTAGGGGCTTAAGGACTGTGAATGTTCAATTGTTTTAGGTCGCCGCACGTCTGGGGGTCGTTTCGCACTTCACAATGGCCTAATGGTCCTTAGCAGGTTTCCGATCGTCCATACTCAGTTTCACAAATTTGAAGATGTGGGCGAGCTTACGGCGGGTGCACGCTGATACGAAAATTTGTTCATTTAATTTGGAAGGACTCATTAACACAGCCTCGACGTTTCTAGAGTCGTAAAGATTTGCGGTCCTTTTCTTGTCTACAACACTGCAGGTGACGTACATCGAGCGCTGTTTTGCTTCGAAGGGGATGTTGGAAGTAGCCATCGACGTGCCTTCTATCGGTGTTAGTAAGCAATATTCTGACCTTCAATAGGGCTATTTGACGAAAGCATCCAATGCTGATTTAGAAGATGCAGTTTCACGATATCCAGGCTTCCTTCCGTTTCCTTGTTGAGTTCGATGGCTCTATGGACGACGAAATCAGCAGCTGAATTTGGGTGTAATGGCTTGTGGCTGACGCTGCCGTGGTGTCGTTGCTTCGCGGGCCTCCTTTCTTTCTTCAGTTGCTGTTTTTAATATCCATTTGGCGAGTGGAGCCGTCGACCCAGAGTCCCGCTATGTTGAAGACGTGCGAGCAGCAGAAATTCGCCAGCTGTTGAAAGCCTGCGATGCTGCAGCAGACAGAGGCCATGTGCCTCTCGTTATTGGCGATCTTAATGCAGGTGCGAGGACCCTGTAGTGCGCTGTTGACACATTCCATAGCCTCCGGTGATGGCGTTGCTCTTCGTAGCGCTAATGGATAACGAGTTTAATAGGAAAGATTTGAGCTGTTTTGGGGCGTGTAGTTCACGAGCATTCGTAGTGGTTGCATGCGGCCCAGCGGCTTCGATAATTTCTGTGGAGTGGGCCTTCGCATGCTGCGTTTACACAGTTGGAAGCGTCAGTTTTTGGCTGTTCATGGTCCAAGCGCTTTATTGCCTTTTTTGCTGCATGCACAGCCCCCCACTTATGCGCTTCAAATTACAAGTGCTTCGTGGAGCGAGGCTGGCGGGACTGCTGGTTGCACGTGCATGGGCATCAGCGACACTTGCTGCAGCATCATCTTCTGCACCAGCAGCAGTTGCTGGATGAGCAGCAGCTAGATGACCAAGGAATCGAGCTTCACGATCGGCACATTCGTCGGGACCTGTTCGTGCGTGTTAGACGACAGCGGCGCATGAGGATGCACACAGAACCAGGGCAGAGGGGACTGCATGCACATCCGGCTGCTCTGTCACAGGTGACGCCGCCTTCTGGAAGCACTGTGCAGCATCACGTGCTCAACAAATCTGATGCTGCACCTTCTGCCAGTGTGACATCGGATGCAGACATAAGTGACACCGAAGGAGAACAGAAGCAACAGCTGCTGGGTCAGCGGCAGAGCCTACAAGCGCGATCCTCACAGAGGAGTGGTCCTCGAGAGCAGTCAGTTTTACGGAGCAGTGGCACTGGTCAACGAGACAGCAGCATGTTTTTCGGTAACATCACCAGCTACCCGTCTAGTGAGAACTGTAGACGGGGTCGCACAGGAGGTTCGAGCCGCCGTTTTCCTCACCAGGAATGTGTAGAGTTGTCCAATTGTGACTCTAGTGATGCAGCAACAACGGCACCGCGCAACATCTCAGGCAGAAATAGCAGCGCGCTAAGTGCTAGCGCAGGCGAGGAAGATAGTGCCAGTTTGCCCTCCAGAGGGTTACTTGGGGGCTACTTTGGCAGGGCAGGTGGAGGCGTACAGCTCCCTTTGGCTTTTGAGTTGCCGGCTGCTGCAGCCTGGGCCCACCGCGAGTTTTTTTTGACAGCAAAGCGGCGGCTTATTGAGCAACAGCAGAAGTGGCTGGGTGGTGGGGACAAAGCACCTGTCCTGGATGTACGTCTCTCACTTTCAGCGCCCCAGCACCAGCAGCGGGGTGTAGACGCAACCCCGCTTGCCAGTGACTGTTCGCTGGCGTCCTGCAGCACGGCCCTTACTGCAGTACAGGGCGGCGACAAAAGTCTGATGCCGGGCAAAGCGTGGCGTTCTGTAGCGCTTGCAGTTGCACCTGCACAAAGCCATTGGAACAGCGAGGGGACTGATGGTTCTGTAGCAGATTGGCTGCTTTCAGACACGGACGAAGAGACCGAGTCCGGGGAAAGCGGTGATACCGTCATACAATGCGCTTCTGACGAAGATAGGGCAAATTACTCGCGCCGAGACTTTACATGGGACCCGGAGAATCCACTGAACTCTATTGGGCCTCATGCAGGTTGTCACGGGCTCCGTTGTGACTACGTGTTTTTGCCTCCTCATCAATTTGCGGGGGGTCTATATCCGTTTCTTCCGGTTGCCGCTGATATCCTCATGAGGGACCCCCGTGTCCTAGTTGATGCCTGCTGCTTCGGTTGCTTCGGGGAAGTGATGCTTGTGACACTGAGCGATCACTACGCCATCCGTATCACCCTGAGGCGGAGCACAGACACTGATATCGCAGATTTTTGGGGGTCATGCGCTGCAGAAGCGGCAGCTCTTAGGTCAGCCACACAGGCAGAAAGAGCTCCATTGGCTGCCAGCCGTGAAGCAAGCCTACAGGCGAGCGAATAGTATGGCCTGCTTGTAGTTACGCCGTAAATTTTTGTTTGTGTGGAAGGGTCGGGGACGATTGGCAGTCACGCTTTCTAGAAAGGTTTGTCAACGGGACCTGCGATCTTCACGCTATTCGCGTAGCAACCTCTGTACCGCAAGGGACTTCGAGTGGAAGTACCACGAGAACTTCTAGTGCAGCGAACTGCACGCCATACCTAGGTGATGGAGAACATTGCGACAAGCGAATACAGTAGTTGGTACCGGGACGTCCATAGTTGAGCCGAAGAAGTCTACTTTCGAGGTTTGCTATCCACGTCTAGTTTGGTTTGATAGGATGGACTGCGTGGTTTCCAGAGACTGCAACTCCAGTTAGCCTGGTTGCAGTTTAGCACTGGCTTTTAAGGCCCTTTCTACAGTTGGTGGAGTGCAAATTAGCAGCTACAGAGGGTTTGACTGTAAACTCGCATTGCCGTTAGCACTATCGAGCGATCTTACTACGGCAAAACAGGACGCATCGAGACACGAAAAAAAATCCTATTGAAAGAGGCTATTACGTGAACCCCATTGACCTTAATTTTTTCCTTAGCTAAGGGGAGAACAACGTGCTGCTTAGCCCGATTCAATATTACTGGTATGGTTTTCGGAAATCTTGTTGCCGCCAGGTGACGTTCGGCCACATCCGCTGGAGAGAAGCATCTCTTGGGCTGAGAAGCCTCGTAGCCAGAAACCTGCAGGCATTCTTCAACAGCTTGTCATCCCTTCTCGTCGGTGGGCACATGTAAGCCTCGACTTTATCACAGATCTTCCCCTTACAACGACAGGGCACAACTCGATTCTCGTGATGCTCGACTCCCTCAGCAAGATGGCCGATTTTGGTCCTGCAAAGAAGTCATTCGCAGCAGCCGACACAGTGGAGCTTCTCGCAGACCGTATTATCCGCCATCATGGCTTTCCAGAGGTGCTCATTCGGACCGAGACCCCCGCTTTCAGTCGGATCTCTGGCAACAACTCTGTAGCGGCTCTAATACCAAAGGCTGCATGTCCTCGTCCCGCCATCCACAAAGCGACGGTGAAACTGAAAGGGTTAACCGCACACTCGAGCAGATGCTTCGGACCTACATCCAATCTGACGAACGCCAGTGGGAGCGTTTGCTTCCGGCCTTGGAACTTGATTACAACACGACAAGCCATTCAACTGCCGAGCTCTTTCCCTCCAAGGTCATGATTGGCGAGAATCCGTTGACGGCTGCAAGTCTTGATATCGAAGGCGCGGTAGCCCCTACGCTCACTCTTCCGATGACTAAGCTTTTCCGGCAGCTCTGCAACAGAGCACACAGTCACATCCTGTCGCTACCGCACACATCATCCCTTTACCACGGCTAAGCGGCCTAGAACGCTCGTCTCCAACCACGCTTAGACCCACCTCTTTAAATATTCAGTCCTCTCAGTGCTGAAACGGGTGCGGTGCCTACTGCTCTTGCCCTCTGGCTTGGTCTGGTCTCGGTCGTATGTAGGACATTCCCCAGCACAATGTCCCACACCTCCACACTTCTTGCAGGTCTCGTTCGGACGCTTGGTACGTTCTCCCTTTCTGGGACACACGCGTGCCGGGTGTCCGCGACCCTGACACTCATAGCAGTTCCCGGGGTTCCCCCGAGGTCGATATTCGTTTCCCTGGCGCCGACGGGGCCCATCTGCCTGGACAGCAGCTCTAATGGCTCGGCTGGACCTTTCTTGTAGCTCTAGCACGCTCTGGTTGGGTTCGTACAGGCGCGCTGCGGCTGTCAACGCTTGTCCCAAGGAAGGATACTTCACCTGCCCGTTATTTGTTATTAGAAGATGGAGCTCTGTTGGTAGCCCGGCGCAGTAATAGTCAACGAGTTCGTCGGGGGTGACCACCCCAGACGAACTAGCTGATTATTACTGCGCCGGGCTACAGCTACAGCAGCAAAATGGTCCGTGTATTCCTTAGGATTATCACTCCATCGTGCTTTAGCCAACTCCGCCAGCAATTGACTCTGCGACGTTGTTCTGTCGAACCTTTCCAAAAGCCTGCGCTGTGCCATCGCCCAGCCACTGAGGTCGGTAGTCCTTTCTAGATACATCCAATACGTTAGAGCGGGGCCTCCAAGGTGGTCGACAAGCGTGCCTCCCCACTCGCGGGTCTCCATTCCCATCTGGGTGTACCGTCATTCGATGCGCATCAAAAAGGCCTGCATGGTGCTGCCGTCTTCAGGAAGTATAGGAAACGTTGCGCCAGAGTCTCCGGGCCTACCTATAACTTTCCTTATCACCTCCATGGCGGAGTGGAATTGGTCCCATGTGATGTAATGCGCATGCACTACAATAGGGCTTGCTGGTGACCTGTAGAGGATAGCTAGCTGATGATCTGTAAGCGGTTAAGATGTCGAGACGTGGATTGAGCGCTGCAACCTCTTACTAGTGAAATAGAAAAGCAATTTACTAGCAAATTAACGTGTATGAATTAGAAATGCCCGCGAATGCCATAAGATTGGGGCTGCCGACAACGCCAGAACCGGTGCGCGTCACATCCTCACCGGACCAGCAAGGCAAAAACCATCAGAAGTGACTTTTATGAAATATGATTTTGAAAGCTTGAAACAAAACAGTCTTTCTAATAAATTGGTGGAGGTTACGCGATCGATGCGTCGATAGTAGAGAGGATTTCATAGAATACCCAAGTTGTGGGCCGTGTAGCATCGTAGTCGCTGCAGAGAACGCGCTGTACTGTACGTGACGCACGGGCTGTCCGCTTGTAAACCGGTAACGGACACCCCGGCAAGTTCACCTGGTTATAGGTGAACCTGCGGGGGTGTCTCCTAATACCCATGCGGTCGCTGTGCCACAGTGGGCTCCGGAGTAGCATGACGAAGGTGGGCCGTTATTCTAGTACACTGCACTCTCTACAGCGTCTACGATGCTGCAAGACCACAACTCTGGAACTCTATGAAAGCTCCTCTTCTACAGACGCATCGGTCTGTTAACGTCAGCTAAATTAATAAAAAGACCATTTTGTTTCAAGTTCCCAAAATCATATTTCATAAAAGTCGCTTCTCATGGTTTATGCTTTGCTGGTGCGGTGAGGATGTGACTCGCACCGGTGCCGGCGTTGTCGGCAATCCCAATCTTAGGGAATTTGCAGGCATTTTTAGTTCATACATGTTAATTTGCTAATAAATCGCCTTTATATTTCACAAGTAAGAGGTTACAGCGCTCAGTCCGGGTCAACCTCTTAACCGCTTATAGGTCATCAGCTAGCTATTTTAGTGAGCGGCGCCTACTGCTGCGACTGCGCTGCTTCCTGTCCCTCGAGCAGGCCTACAAACTACGCCTAGCATAGCCCCATTTCTCGGACACTATAGCTTTATTCCATCATAATACAACAATTCTTAAGTGTTTCAAATCTGTCTCTTCGATTCGCCCCACTCTGGGAGCTCGCCTCCTGGGCCCTACGGGTGGGGAGGCCCGCGCTGGCGCCGGCGCTTTCGCCAGCCCCAGTCTCCACACGATTTCCACATATTTCACGTATTCATTAGAACTAATAGACGGTTTTTTTTATTTTAATCCTATTGGGAGGGTTCTGTCCTCCTTCAGTGTCGCGGCCCCTTGTAGGTCGCTAGCTAGCTATCATCTCTAGGACACTAGCCAGCCCCACTGTAGTGCCTGTGCACTACAGCTATCATCTATAGCGGACTGAAGAGACCTATCCCGAACACATTATTTTTGCATTTTCAATCTCTGTGCTCTTCTAAAGCTGACGTCGTGAGCGCACGCGGTGCGCAGCGCTCCCTTCCACCTCCTCATTGAAGGGTGCCCTTGCTGTAGGCGGTGGAATGTGACGGACCCATACGTCTACGCCTCGGAAGGACCAATGTTGTTTCGAGCCTGAAGT